TTTCTTTAAGGGTGGTTTGGCAGTAGCTGATGTAAAAGAATATCGTTTAAATGCTAAACGAGAACATTTACGAGCACGTATTGGTGTTGTATTAGGTTTTCAAGCACGTTTAGGTGGATTTTGTGAAACAATTGGTAGTATAATAAGAAAATTAGGTAAAAATGTTCGATTAATGAATTTTTGGGAACGATTAAATCTTATTCCATTAAAATATCATTTACGTAAACTTGAAATACGTTCATATGTAACAAATATTCCACATAATATGAATTCATCATATTTTTCTCCATTAACATCATTAAGAAGACGTGAGCCTGTTATATTGCATCATTCAGTGTCATCATCATCATCATTACCAGCAAATATTGGAATATTTGAACAAATACAAACAGAAACAGGTTATTATTTTCATCAAGATATAATACGTAATGATAGTTTATTTAATGAAGAAGAAAATACACGTTTATTGAGAAAAACAGATGATATACGTGATGCTGTTGAAGAATCAGGTATACGAACAAATAATGAAATAAGAAAAGTAGCATTAAGTTTACAAAATGAATTGGAAGATATTAAACGAAGATTAGCACAACGATAATTTTAATGGAATAACTTTGATAACAAGTCGATTTATCTTTTGATTTCTGTTTTTTTCTTTTTGTATTATGAAAAAAATAATCCTGAATATGAATAAAATTGGTAAAAGTATTTCTTTTTGTCAATAACAATAAATTTATTGGAAGATGGAAACAGAGATCCACGTAACAATTTTGCGCTCTTCATTATTCCATGATTTTTAGAACTTACTGAAGAAACGAATTAGTCCTCTTGAAACACGTCCACAAAGGAAAACACGGAAAAGATGTGCAATGCATCCATGCACATCTCTGGACAAGAATTATCTCAAATTGTCATTGGTTTCTACTGTACTTTTTATTTCTGATTTCTATCTTTTTGTTTTACACAAAGAAGTTCACGTCAAAAATGTACGTACACCATGATAGCGAATCATCAACAAAAAAAAAAAAGAGAAATTTATGATAACGAGACTGAACTCTTACTATCATAATTTCTTAGTCATCTATTAAATTGACTGGTGTTTCAAAACAAAAACCGATTGAAATCTCTCCGTCAAAAAAGGTTAATTTTCGTGAAAAATATGAAAATTGAGATAAATACATGGGAAAATAGTCCAAGGTCTAATCTTTCATAAATGATATGATTTTGTATTTGGCTCCTGGGTTTTTTTTCTGAAAATTTTTCTCATTTTCTGCTTGGAAAATCTTTTTCGCGTTTTCTCTCTCTATATCTTCTTTTGATCGTGCATTCTAAAATTTTCGAAGGAGTCTGGTGGTAGGCAATAGTGTCTTTTTTTTATTTGAAAGACTATATCAAAAACGTCATTTTTTTTTGAGAGTTTTTCGAGACATTATACTTTTCTCCCTATAGAAAGTGAGAATTAAAAACAGCAGAATTGCGTCATATTCTGCATTCTGATATACTCTTTCAAATAAAAGAAATTAAGTATATTGAATGAAGGTTCACTGAGAATTTTCGTGTTTCCAAATGAACTATTTTTTAATCTTGTTTGTTGAATATCTTCCGAAAACATCATGATATAGAACTAAAAACTTTATCTTAGTCTCGTCACTACAATCCCAACATATCTTGAAAATTTCATGCGAGTTAAATGAACTTGGATCAAGATTGGTTTTTGAGGAGGGAGAGTTAAATAGTATGCAGATTCTTAAAAAAGATGGTTTAAAACACCCATTTCAATTGATTAGAATCTATGAAGTAAATGTTTGACAACAAACCAAAAGATCATAGAGTATTTTTGATTTTAAATATGATCAAAAAATATTTTTACTTATTTATAAAAATAGAAAGTATTCTTTTTTTTTTCTTCGCTACTCTTTCACCATATATTTGTTTTGTATTCGTGTCAATAGACATTCATTCACTATACAGTACTAATTACGTAGTCAAAATTACTAAATGCTTTTGAATAGATGTATGTTGATATTTTTATTCTTTCGTAGGCGTATTCATGCATGGTCGATTCATGACATATATATATAGTTATATATATGAGCAAAGAGTACAGCCATTGTACCATTCAAGCAAAAAAATTGATAAAAATAAACTTAATAATAAGAAACAACGAAATATTGTATTTGATAGAACGATGTCAATTGTGTATGGAAATAATATTTTTCCAACACTTCCCTGTGTCGGAGCCAATTTCTGTATGCAATTCTCATATATCAATCAATGTGAATACTTCAAAAAATGTCATTCTACACAAAAATGAAGTGTCTTGACATCTGTTATCGATAATTTTTCATGCAAAAAATTTTGTCTAATGCTAAAAGCTCTTGGTAAGCTCTACAACCCTAGTTGAAATTGCGATGGAATAAAAGAGATATTGATTGATGTCCGGCAGATAGCGTCAGAAGCATTACACAGGACGATCTGTCGCTATGATTTTTCAGCAACTAAAGCAGGTGGAAGTTTAATTTTTTCAAAAGTGAATGATCATCTTCAGGCCAGTAGAACAAAAAGAAAATTTTATCAAAAGCGGTTGACTAGAACTTGACTTATAGACATTTTTCTTTTCGGGATACAACGCTGTAATGGCTGTGTTCTTCATTCATATATATATATATATATAAGATGAGAAGCCAAAAATAATACCAAATATTTACATACACCAATCTTCAACCGCAATGCTTTAATAGATATGGCTTTGTACGATGGAGGATTTACACCCTTTGGTGGAGGTGTTTTTGGCGGTTTTCTCGATGGTTACAATATGTGTAATGAACTTTCTTTATGTTAAACAGATATATAGTATTGATCTTATTGGTAATATCTACGGTTCGTATGGTGAACATATGTTTAGTTCTAATTAGCCACAAGTAGATTCAAATAACTATCCAGGTACAGTTCACTTTGGTCTGTCCATTGTAATTCAATTCCCAGGATGTGAATAATATTCTGGCGGTTTTAGTTATTTTGATGTATATTGAGATGCTAATGAAGCAGTGAATGGCAATATTGATACAGAAATAGATAAACTCTTTATTTTTGATATGTAATTTTATAATCAAGCTTTTTATATGCAATAAATGTCTTGTGACTATTTATGTGTTCATCGATCATCATTGAGAAAAGTGTTGTGCAGACTAACGAGTCTGTCGATATAATAGCCTAGTCAATTAAACTGTTTCATATGACTTAACAACTGATTGTATTATCCTATAAATTGTATCATTTGGGTCATATCAATAGTAGTATTAGTAATTTTTTATTTCCTCGTATAATTGGCAAAATCTTACTCGAATTATTACGATTCATACAATGAATGTAAACCTTTCTTACATAGAAAACTTTACAGCTAAATATCTTAATTACTGATCTTATTATCGGTCGTTTGAATTGAAAATGTCAATAAACATAGTTTGCATCATAAATCGTAGTGATAGTATTAATCCTTTGACAGTGGGCTTATTTTTATAACAAATAAAATACAAAACTATTGTTAATATGGTTTACTTTGAAAATTATTGCCAATCATAATTCTTGAATTTAGACTTGATTTAAAGATGCAATGCTGTCACCAGTGACATCGATGCCAGAACACAACAAATATTGAAAAAATCTGTTTTACTATATTTTGGCTTCAGCATCTATTTAAATTTTAAAAATGCAAATTTACGGGTTTCGTTATGAAGATGTTAAAGTAAAATATTTAATTTTTTTCAGTTTTTATGAATATAAATCACCATAAACCATATCAACTTTTTTTGTTGCCTACGATTTAAATATTCAGCACTGCTGGCCAATACAAAATTGTGGTACACATATAGTACAAGAATCCGTTATTGGCAAATGTCAAAATCTAAATAACTAATAGATTTACATAATAAAATTACTTTATTTGATATAGGTGGAATGCATGAGCAACAAGTTCTTTTTAAAGATTGTGTATTTTCATTTAATGGTGCAATTATATCAAATAATTTAGATGATTATCTTAAAAAAGATATTCTTTCTGAAATACTTGGAAATAATTTTTATGCTGACCGTAGAAAAATTTCTGTTGATCATTGACTTGGTGGTGATCCAACGGAGAAGAATGAAACATGTTGGTAACAAACATTAGTTGCTAATCCAGCATTACTACAAATTGAAGGATATGCATCTTGGTCATATGTTATTGAAATTGACTCGGATGTATGTGACAATTCAAGAAAAATCGTTAAATCTCGTACTGCAGCAGTAGATAAAATTCGAATAGATGAAGAAAATCAATTAAGCGAACAACGTAATAACCCTTTGAGGATCGGTGGGCCATTTTAGAACTACCTATTTTTCAGTAGAGAGAATATTTGTTTTACCTTAAACTCTTATGATCTGTAAGGTAATAAGTTGCCTCACTTGCCATCTGCTTCATATCTTTTCTCTCTGTTTTCCTGTCATATAGATCATTCTTAGATGTTTTTCTTTGTTTATGCTACTATACAATGACATCATATTCTCTCCCTCTCTGTTCTTTATGTATTATCATAAAGTTTTTATGTGATCATTTTCAGCCAAATACAATAAATTGGTTGAAGAATCACTTGTCGATTGAAAAAAAATCGGTTCTCAAAGGGTTAACTAGATAAAATAAGCGTTGAATGGAGAAAATCAACGATAAATTATCAATGTCTTACGATATTTTCCTACGATGAAAATATAAGTTCCCATTCTACGATTCAATTATTGGGGTAGCTGTCTAATTTGAGTTCCAAAATTAAAAAAAAATTCGAAATTTCATCGACAATTACAGAGCCAAAGCTAAAATCTTTCCACACTTATAATTATAACTCAGATGACGATACTCATGTAAAAAAGGCCAAAAGATCAAAGATAAATTTTTATCTTATTTATAATTATAATTATAATTAAGAAAAAAAAATTATCTTCGACTCTTTGGCCATTTCAAACCGGATGCCTTCATTTCAATTATAATTAGAATTGAGATAAAAATTTATTTTTAACCGTTTCAACATGAATACCCTTATTTCAATTACACGTATAATTGAAATACAAATGTTTTTTTGACCTTTTCAGCCGTTTTAATATAAATGCTGGTTGGCAAGTTTTTTTTCATTTATTTTCGAAGTGATATCAAGTTCTAGGAGATTCATTTATATTCGAACTCGCATTAGGCCTCTCATAAATTATTGAAGCTTCCCCTTTGAATCATAATAGTATCTTAATTATTTGTCTTGTTCTTTCATCGAAAAAGACTATAGATATAGACAATAGTACATCAAATCAAGTCTTACATTTCATCAAGTTATACACTTTCGATTTTATGTATACCACTATTTAGCTTTCTTTTCTCTTTATTCTTGTCGCTTTTCCATTACCATGCTAGTGAATAAAATAAATGAGCCATACAGCTGTTCAATAACACATTCACATCATATTTTCTATCATTAATCGTTTCTAACTGTATTCAAACAAAGATCATGATTCACTTTTCTGGCGCTTTGCATTTCTCTAGTTTCTGTTGTGATGGGTAACCCTGGGTAAATCAAACAATGATATCTTCAAATTCCTTACTTAATTCGTTTACAATTGATGTAAACATTTATCTCGGTTCGAAGTCAAGTGATAACGACAGTTCACTCTATCAATCGATGATGAAATCGATTTTGGAAGATTTATGAGCAGATATTTTTGAAAAGTTAAAGCGATCTATCATTATCAAGCACATTATTTTTATGATGAAAGGATTATTAATGAATGCATCTCGTTCTCTTCCAATCTTTGTTCAACACTGAGCGTGTTATCATAACACTTCTATTTATTTGGGATAATGAATGATGATGGAAGAATAATCAAGTACAACAGTAAACTGAACATTTGAGAGTATCTTTGCTGATTAAAAATAACTGCATCTGAAATGAACAGCCATCTTGATTATTTGAAAAGAACTAACTAATATTTATTTTAGCTTAAACAATGACTGCTCGTTGTGTATATCAAATATACACGGTTGTTTGCTTGGTGATTATTTGATATTCAATTTTATTGCCATCCATTTGGTTATATGAAAACGAGAATGAGACTTCACGCTTCTCATATTCTATTCACTGTTTACATGTCTATTCGGTATTTTTGATTTAGAGTGGGTGTGTATCTACGAATCCAAGTCTATTTTAATAGATTCCATTATTCTTGAGTAGATTGAGTTAATTAATATGACAGGATATATGAAAAAA